AACGAGTGGAAATTAACATAGATTGACCAATGGGTCAATGAAGAAATTAGGAAGAAAAATTCTTGAAACAAATGAAAAGGGAAATGCAACATACCAAATCTATGGGATATAGCAAAAGCAATACTAACAGTGAATTTTATAGCAATAAATGCCTATAATAGAGAAGTAGTAAGCCTTCAAATAAACAACCTAATGATACACCTTCAAGAACTAAACCCAAAATTAGTAGAAGGAACGTGATAAAGATCAGAGCAGAAATAAATTAAATTGAGATTGAAAAAATACAGAAGATCAACAAAACAAAAAGTTGGTTTTTTGCAAGATAAAATTGACATAGCGTTAGCTAGACTAAGGAAAAAAAGAGAAAAGACCTAAATAAATAAAATCAGAAATGAAAAAGGAAACATAACAACTGAGACCTGAGAAATATAAAGAGTCATTAAAGACTATTATGAATAACTATACCCCAGCAAATTAGAAAACTTAGGAGAAATGAATAAATTCCTGACACATATAACCTATCAAGATTAAACCATGAATAAATAGAAAACGTCAACAAACCAATAAGTAATGAGATCAAAGTGGTAATAAAAATTTTCCCATCAAAAAAAAAAAAAAACAACCCTCAGACCTGATAGACTCACTGCTAAATTCTACCAAATGTATAAAGAACTAATACCAATCCTACTTACATTCTTCAAAAAGTTGAAGAGGAGAGAATACTTCCAGACTCATTCTACAAGGCCAGCATTACCCTGATACCAAAACCAAAATCACAACAACAAAAAAAGAAAACTATAGACCAAAATCACTGATGAATGCAGATGCAAACTTCCTCAACAAAATACAAGCAAACCAAATTCAACAGCACATTAAAAAGATAATTCATCATGATCAAGTGGGATTCATCCCAGGGACACAAGGATGGTTGCAAACATAAGCAAATCCATAAACATCATACACCACATTAACAGGATCAAGAACAAAAACCGTATAATTATTTCAATAGATGCCAAGAAAGCATTTGATGAAATTTAACATCCCTTTGTTATAAAAACCCTCATCAAAACGGATATAGAATGAACATACCTCAACAAGATAAAGGCTGTCTATGACAAACCCATTGCTAACATCATACTGAATGAGGAAAGAGTGAAGGCTTTTCCTCTAAAGACTGGAACAAGACAAGGGTGCCCATTCTAATTGCTCTTATTCAACATGACACTGGTAGTTCTGGCCAGAGCAGTTAGAGAAGAGAAAGAAAGGGCATCCAAATTGGAAAGGAAGTCAAGTTAGCGTTGTTCACAGATGACATGATCTTATATTTAGAAAAATCTAGACAACCAAAAAATTGTTAGAACTGATAAATTCAGTAAAGCTGCAGGATACAAAATCATCATACAAAAAGCAGTAGCATTTCTATATACCAGCAATGATCTAGTTGAAATAGAAATCAAGAAAGCAATACAATTTATAATACATAGAAAAAAGATATAATACTTAGGAATCAATCTAATCAAAGTGAGAGATCTATACAAGGAAAACTATAAAACTCTTATTAAAGAAAGGGAAGAAGACACACACAAAAAATAGATATTCCATGTTCATGGATTGGACTATTTTCCTGCCTTTAGCTGTTTAGGTTTCCCTAAGTCTAAAGATAACATCTCTATTGTGAATATAACAAACATTTTTCATAAATGCAGAGAAAGTTAGAGAAGTATACACAGAACACTGCCTTACAATACAAAAGAATCATCCTTATTATTTGACAAAAAGAGAGAAAAGGAAAGTCTTTATGCACCACTTCTCCAAGAAGAGGTGACATAATTCAACCTATGTCAAGCCACTTAGGAATAGAGATTTTAAACAGTAGGTGCCTAGTACTTAGAGCAACATGTACTTGTTAGAAGTTAATTATTCCTTTTCTCCCTCTTGATTCCAGACTACTAGAGTACAATAGAGAAACCACAATAACTTATTATTTCAGAGTACCCTTCTGGCAGTAGCATGGGAAGATTAGGCAGATTCTATTGCACTCATTTCTTCAAACATTAAGGCAGATGCAGGATTACAGTATTGATATGTCAGTCTTGAGCAAAGGATACCATAAATGGTACAGCCAAACTGAGCTAAGACGAAGCTGTGAGGGTGACAAGCAACTGAAGTTATAGGGAGACTTAATATACCTAGAATGGGTTTGTTTTCACACCATGATTTTTTTTTTTTTTCAATTTGAGTACATGTGCTGCTTATTCATGAATACTGATCTACTAAACTTTAAATATATAAAACTTTTCTCCCTTTACCTTCTGAAGGAATGCATGCTGAGTTTAATTCATATTGATCTCAGCCTCACATAAAAATATGAGAAAATTCTAAAGATACATTTTTATTCCTTGAGGCTACCTGTATTCCCACATCATCAGATTTTTACCATGACTCTGTAAGATCAATGACAGTAGTTGGCTGACTAGATTCTCCTCTTTGTAAAGAACAGGAGATGCCACTTCACAGAGCATGACTGAAGAGGTAAGACTAAAGATAGCCACACTTTTAAATGCAGTTGTGCCAACCAAAAAAACATGGATGTGCATGGAGGGTGTTGAGGTTCTGTGTTTCTATTTTTATTTCTTCTTTCAGTAGTTGTAGTCTGCCCTGATTCCACTAGGGCATAGCTTCAATAAAGAACTCCTGAGTCTCCTTGTCCTCTGCTTATTTTGACTGCCACAACAGAGCAAAAGGAGAATAAAACAAATCACCATTGTCACAGCATCCCTAATAAGTTTATATCTATCTCTATTTATCCACCTATATATTGTCTACCTACCTATCTATCTAGGTATCTAAATATTTATATCTATATATATAATAATAATAAATAAAGGGGTATATAAACTGCTAAAATGTATTGCCCTAAGAAGTATAGAGTAGAAAAAGTAAAACCACAGTGTAGTTAAGTGTAAGTTACATTGAATACATTCCATATATATTTGACATAAAGTAATTACCTTTGTCAATGCCTATATATTTTTCTCTGTTGCACAAAAACTACAACCACTACCAGCCAAACAGGGAAGAATAAAATATTGAGACAATATAAATAAATTATTTGTGGCAATTGATAAGGCATTTCCATCCCTTAGCTCTGCTGGAAATTAATATTAGTGACATAAATCACTATCCCAATCAGTATTCGCATCAGTTACTAGATCTATTTTATTATATAAATCAACATTGTCCTTCAGTGAGTCTCTGGCAATGTTTTAAGATATTTCAATGTATTCTAATATTTTTTTGCTGGATGCATATGAAATTATTTCTGTAATTATGCATCAGTCTAAATCTTACTTCTCCCTTCAGAGAAATGTTTCCTTGAAACTATTTCATGAAACAATAGTCTTTTATTTTCTGGAATTACAGCCCAAATCCTGGCCAAAACCCAAAATTATCATTACATTGCTTCCAACCTATTCCTATATTATATAAATTACTTTTTTTGTTTTGCTTATTTGATAGTTTTTATTTAGTTTTTTAGGCGGCTATCAACATTTGCATACACATTTGTATTTTTAAATAAAAATAACCTTATATTACAAGCCTATTTTCTAATTATTCCTAATCGCAGGAATGGGCAATGTTCACGTGTGGCCGCTGGCATTTGTGGAGGGAAGTAAAAGCCTGGGAAATGCGGCTCCTCTTTCTGATTCTGGAAATGTCCAAACCAGTCACCCTTGGTTTTCTCAACCCTCTCATCCTCCTTCTAGTGAGTATTTTATCATACAAATAATACAGCAAGATAACAACTAACTCTTAAACACAGGTAGTCAAGCTGGCTATAAGAGAATTCATTTAGAATATAGAATGCAATTGCCTTCAGTAAGCGACTAAAATCATTCCGGTTGCTTTGCCTTGCAGAACAGATCTTTAACCATTATTTTCCACTGATCAAATTGTATTAGTCTAGGTTTGAAACCCTGGCGAGTAAATATTGCTGTAAAAATGCCCACATTATTTCAGTTTTCTTGCGACAGAAATATTTCTTTCTGTTAAATGTTGTGTTGCTAATATGAGCAAAAGCTAAATATGAAAGGAAAACATTTTGAATGCCTAACCACGCTGAAGGTCATACTTGGTCATTCCTTCACCAGCTATTTATTGGATGCTTATTACATTCAAGCCCGTGGTGCTCAACACATGTTTGCTGGATGAGTAAATGTTTTCAGCTGTGCATGTTTCAGCCTTATTTTTCTTAGTTTCTTGCTTCCTCTAGTATTGGCCAGCTGTTAGCCAATTGCTTATAGCCGAATATTTTATTTGAAGGATAAGATTATTCATTTTAAAACAAAAGGGAAGGAATACGAAGACAACTGAGGAAGTGAGGGTGTCTGCTGTTGTTCATCAAGCACCTGCTATCTATTAATTTGGTTCATCTGGCAAGAATGCCCATGCTAGTTAATTGACCATTCATCATTGGAAAAACTATAAAAGCAAAGTATTTACACCTGGCCCCTTCTAGCCTGCACCCTCTCCAAATGGTTTCTATGTCGGGGCTTTGGCTAAACCTTAAAACTTTTGTGAGTCGGTTTCTGTAGCATTTCATTACACAGCCTGAAGTCAGCCTCCTGCACTGATATTTAATCCTATCAAGGAAAAAAGATGCTAAGAAAGAAATCCTTTGTAAAACACAGCATGAAACAGACCTCAGCATTAGCGTTTAGCTTCTGATAATGCGCTCTGTATAATGCGCTAGTCAAGTTCTGGTGCCAAATTGGGTCCTTAGCCCTCACAGTAATTTTTGCAATAGTTTTTGCCATGAGTGTATGAAATGATAGCTTTTAAAAAGCCACTGTAAATCTCAGAGCTCCCACGGTGGCCAGTGACAGCTGATAAATGGAAATGGAGAAAAACAAGGAATGCAAACACAAGGCAATTTGCATGACTCAGCCCACCGGAGGAAGCTAATGGAGGTGCCACTTTATTATTTTAAAGTCACTTGCCTTGCAAACTGTAGATTTCTCCAACGCTGTTCTGGCGGGTGATGTGATGCCAGTATGCACTCCGAGGGAGAGATATTGATTTGGATAATGTCATTGGTTCAGTCAAGCTTGTCTGAAGCTAAAAGAAAAAAGAAAATGTATTTTAGGCTTTATTTAAAATATGAAACTGAAATCCGCTCTTTTAAATGTTGAGGGTTAAATGTGAATGACATGATAGAATCTGTCATTCTATCAGACACCTGCATAATCCTCTGTCTAAGGATAACTTTTTAAAAAGTAAAATCACTACTCAAAAATAGGAAATTGTAAACAATTTAATCCAACTCATTAATTAGGAAGGGAACATTCAGATGGTACAACTGATTCCAAGGAGAATTCGAATGGCTTATAGCCAAGCAGGAATACTGGCAAATATCCAGGCAGTAATCAATTGCATTCCTCCAGACAAATTTATTTGCATTTCTATGAACAGAATTATTCGCATCACTCTCAGCTTTCAGCAACTTACAGAATTGTAAAATAACTCAAAAAATGAAAGTGCAGATCAGAAACAGATATCCCAGAAAGGTGCCAAACACAGATTACTCATTAATCTTTTTTATCCATTTCAGTCTCTTAAAATTTTTCCTGACATCTCCTGACACCCTTACACAATGATCTATTTTCTCCAATAGATCTGTTTCCTTGCTCCTGTGACAGGACTTGTACATATTGAAAAGGTGTTCTCTCTGAGAAACTCTTTGATACAATTGTGCATTTTCTTATTTGAAACATATATGTTAAAGTTAGCTGAGAAGACCCACAGGCTATCACATCACTTGCTGAGGCATATGATTAGTTCAAAGGACAAAAATAGTTTACATTGCATTTTTAAGAAATAAATGTATTTTTATTGATAGACAACAGGGTTCAAGAAACATACAGAGGTGGTTTTATTAGGTCTTAGTGCACATTTCTCTGACACAACTTGAGAAAACATTTACTTTTTGACAGACTATCCTCTAATTAATAAAATCTCACATTTTTCCCTTGTTTAATGCCTGACTCTTGGCAAAACTGGGAGTTGTAAAGATTGTATCTGTCAGATCGAGCCTTAGAGTTCGGGTCTGCTCCCTGTGGTGTGCATTTTCCCACTGTGTCCCCAGGACCCCCATTTTTCCACACTTCACACACTTCTGCATCCAGCACTGGGTTTCACTCTTACTACCCCTTATAGAAGATGCTCTCAGGAAAGTACCTGATATGATTTAAAAGGCCATTTAAATCAGCATAAAACTAAGAGGCTTTTACATTTTAATGGAAGGTATAGTCAAAGAGCTTGAATATATTTATTTGATTTTCCTTTTTAGTAGTGAAGCATTTCTAGAACTGCTATGTCTTGTCACAAAAGTGCCATACTCATCATTTGACGCTAGGAGTTTCAGACCAGCCTGGGCAACATAGCAAGACCATGTCTCTAAAAAAAAAATAAAACAAAATAGCAGGGTGTGGTGGTGCACACCTGTAGTCCTAGCCACTCTGGAGGCTGAGCTGAGGAGCACTTGAACCCAAGAGTTGGAGGTCGCAGTGAGCTGTGATCTTGCCACTGCACTCCAGTCTGGGTGAAAGACTGAGACCCTGTCTCAAAACAAACAAACAAAAAAAGATGCCACACTCAATGTATTTAAAAGTCTGGCATTGTTGAAGGTATCTTTTTTTTTTTTTAAGAAGATGGCTCAGCTCCAAATAGCAACATTGCAACCAATCTATATTTTTCAAAATTTGGTATTAATACATTTCAAAGTTTCCCTCCTTGAAAGAGGAAGATGATGGTCAAAGGGCACAAAAATCTCAGACTGGAGAAATTTTTTTGTTTTGGGGGATTCTATTGTGGTGAATATAGTTAATAATAGTGTATTGTACATTTCAGAATTGCTAAGAGAGTAAATTCCAAATGTTCTTATCACAAAAAATAAGTATTTGAGGTGATGGGTGTGTTAATTCGCTTGATTTAATTTTCACATATTCATAAATCATACCCCATAAATAGACACATAAATACATAAACTCAACTTGTAAATTAAAAAATATATAAATATACAAGAGAAAAATGGGCAGAAACAATGCTCATTAGTCATTTGAAATTAATGCTTTCATATATTGATAAAGTACATTAAAAATTTAGACAAATACATAGAGAAGGAAATACAGAGTGTATAGTGCTTACTTGCATGTGTATGTGTCTGTGTTGAGAAAGAGAGTCTCCACATCAATGTGAATATCTCTTTAAGTACCTATAAAACATGGACAGAAATTGGCTGTATATTAGATAACAATGAAAAATAAACTTCAGTATATGGAAACTATTCAGTCCATGTTCTCTAACTACATTATTAAATAAATGTTAATAAAATGTGCACAAAAAAGCAGCACCTTAACAAAATATGCAGAAGCAATACATTATATAAAGAAGGAAAAAAGCTACAATTATATAATTTTAGGAAAGAATGATTTCCATTCTACTTATCAAGCCAGTGGGAAGTAGACAAATGACATTCAGAAGCAAATGCTTTCATGAAACAAATAAGATTATATTGCAAATACTTGCAAATATAATCAAATAATACAAATAATTGCAAATACTTAACTTGACGAGGTAGAAAAGACCAACAAAACAACCTAAGAAAAATAGGATGTGGAAATTACTTAGGACAACAGCAAAATATAATACATAAGAAAAACTGAAAAATATATATTATCTCCATAAATAAAAACACAAGTCTCTCTAAAATGTAAAAGTATAGAAAAACTATTCAAAGTGAAACCCAATTATATAAATTCTACATAGGAAAGGGCTTATAAAAACAGGCAAAATTATTTCTAAGAGAATTTGATGCTTCTTTATAAAAATGTAAACAGCAAATAACCTTTGGAGGATTAATGACTCTTTGAGAAACAGTGTTCATAATTCTACTTATACATATATAAGCTAAAGTCCCGAGATGGAATACTGACCTAATTTTCTTTTTATTTTCTCAAAATTCTTTAGTATTGGGATTTGTTAGTTTTAGTATGAAAAGAGCAGGAATAACTTTAAAGCCTTCCGATGTGGAAATATTGAATAAATTTGGGACATAGCAAGAAAGGGCCTTGTATTAGCCAAGGTCCACTTAAATAAATAAAGCCTATGCCAAACAGTTCAACAGAGGAAACTCAATAAGGTAATTTGGATTCAAGGTGGAGGAAGAGCAGACAACTCAGAGATTAATGAAAGTGGGAAAGGTACTACCACCCCTCCCTCCTTGCCTGCGCAGTTGCAAGGATTTGGGGGTTGAAAACACAAAACTGCCGTGCGCAAAGACAATAGGATCGGTTGTTATTATATATGGCACAGC